GCTTGAGCCACATCCCCAGCCCCAATAGTTGAATTTTTTTGTTTTGTACCAGGGATTCAACCCAGGGGCTCTTAACCACTGAGCCATATCCTAAGACCATTTTTCAATGTTTTATTTTGAAACATTGTCTCACTTAGTTGCTTAGAGCCTCCTAAATTGCTGAGACTGGCTTTGAGTTTGTAATCACCTCAAGCCTCCTGAGCCTTTGGGATTACAGGCCTGTCACCACACCTAGCTTATGCAGTTGAATTTATATAGCTAAAATGAACAAACCAAAGCTATAAGTGTCAGGCTAGATGACTGTCATTAACACAATATGAAGTAACAAGCAGTTGAAGAACATTATCTAAAGCATGATCTTATTTAGCTAAAGTTTAAAACAATTTGAAAAACATTACTATGTCTGGAGACTATGTATTGTCTCTAGATACAGTCTTACACAACAAGAAAAAGCATTAAAACATACAAGGAACTGACAAAAAAACAAATTAAGAATAGAATAGTGGTTGTATCTGAGGAGGAAGAAGGAGGAGAGAATTATTAGAGGTACAAACAGGACTTTGATTTTGCATGCAATTTTTATTTCTTTTTTAATAATGGATTTGAGGACAGGTTGTGGCTGTGGCTCAGAGGTAAAGGGCTTGCCTAGCATGCGTGAGACACTGGGTTTGATTCTCAGCACCACATGCAAATAAAATAAAGATATTGTGTCCACCTACAATATTAAGAAAAGAAAAGAAAAGAATGGATTTGAGACCGGGCACTGTGGCACATGCCTGTAATCCCAGAGGTTTGGGAGGCTGAGGCAGGAGGCTCTTGAGTTCAAACCCAGCCTCAGCAAATGTGAGGCACTAAGCAACTCAGTGAGACCCTGTCTCTAAATAAAATTTAAAAATAGGGCTGGGGATGTGGCTCAGTAGCAGAGTACACCTGAGTTCAATCCCCAGTACGCCCTCCCCCCTAAAAAAAAAAAAAAGAAGAAGAATGGATTTGAGGCAAATGGAAAGGCAAATTGTTAAAGTTGAATAAGGTGGTAGGTGGGTATGTGGATTTATGCTGCGATATTCTGATTCTTTTCTGATTGTGTTGTATTGTATATGCATATTATTGTCGACCTCAGTAATACATATTTTATATTTGTGTAGTGTAGGTATTTACATAACATCACTTAATCTTCAAGATGGTCTTATGAAGTAAATGGGACAGAAATTATTATTTCTAGTCCATAGAACAGGAATATAAGCCAACAGAAGAATTTATTAAGAACTGAACTGGGAGCTAAGCTGTTTGATTTTTATCCTAGATTTTCATGGAAATCCACAGGAGAAGTTTCCTTCAACCCCAGGTGGCCCCATCCCAGCCTGAGCTGCCTGCTTCTCCTACTCATTCCCAACTTTGGGAAGGCACTTAATTCAATGGGGGAATGAATTGCACAAATGATAGCCAAGCGTTTGTCCAAAAAGCATTCATTCTGAAGTGATGGAGGTGGGCATGGGGGGTCTTCCAAGAATGGATACATATTTACAAGTCAGATAAGAAGAGCAGGCAGGTTCTATTCTCTGGCCACCGCCCACTGACCCGCTCAGCGTCCTTAGACAAACCACTTAACCTTTTACTACTTACACTTTACACTCCCGTTAATCGAATGTGTAATTTTCACAACTGCTCACGCGGGGCTCCTGTTGAACACTTTCAGAAAACAAGACCTATTTTTAAATCAATCAAAATTCAACTCTGTTAACTTTTCAACAAAACTTCAATCTTTGCTCCGATTTCAAAGACTTTCTTTTCGTTTAGATAGCATTGGCTATTTTAAAGAACATTTGGTTCATATTTTTTAAAGATTAACAATTTTTAAATCACTAAAACACAAATGCTTTTTGTTGGTAAAAATAATAATAAAACAATGCTAACTTAGAATATAAAGTGGGCAGTTTAAATTCTAGTGCTTTTTTTCCTTCTGTACTGACTCCGTAAAAATTTTGGAAGCAAGAGGCATGTTAATAATAAGCACTAAAAATGCCTAGTGAAAATCCTTCAAGTTCTAGATATTAAGGTTTGGAAGAGGAGAAAAACCAGGGCAGAGCAATTCCGAATCCAGAAAAACCCCGGAAAGATAAACTAGGAGCCGGTGCGTCCCAGCGCGCTCCAGATTTTCGCCGTGGTGTCGCTCGTGACCGTGGTGTTTCGATGGGGTCCGGCCCTGAAGGCTTCTGGCAAAGAACCTGAGCCCTTTCGAGGCCGAACTGTCCACAGAGGCCACAGGTCCCTTTAAGGAGTTTGGCCACCGAGAAAGGGGATCAAAGGGGGCGGGAGCAGGATTCGGGAGCGCACGCCACGTGACTCCCCTGCCAAGTTCGCCTGCGAGTTTGACAGAAGTTTGAATCGGACTCGGGGGCTTTCTGCATCGGCGGGGCAGAGCAGCGGCCACAGCCTAGACCAGCGCGTGCAGCAGCGCCCCCGCTACCCACCCCGCCAGCCTGGATCCCGGCCCGCCGACGGCCGCGAGTGAGCAGCCCCCGACTCCACCGCTGTTCCCGCAGCCTCCCTGCGAGGGAGCCGAGCCCCCGCGCTGCGCTCCAGTCCTGCTGCGCCAGCATGTCGTCGGCGGAGAGCCCCAGCCGCACAGCGGACAAGTCGCCGCGCCAGCAGGTACTTCCCGAGCGCCCCTGGGCTCTGCCACCGATCCCCTCCACCTAACTGTCGGCCCTGACTCTCATTCCACCCTCTGCCCCTGTGTAGTAGTAGGAGGAGGAGAGGGACTAGTGTCTTCTCTTGTCTCCCCACCGCCTTGACAGCTAGCTGGCTCTGTCTTCGCAGGTGGACCGCCTGCTGGTGGGGCTGCGCTGGCGACGGCTGGAAGAGCCACTGGGCTTCATCAAAGTTCTCCAGTGGGTGAGTCTCTGCCCCAGCCCCGGGCTATTTCGGGAGCTTGGACTGTGACGACGACCTGAAGCAATGTGGCTCTGGTGGGGGCTGGGGAGGTGAAGCAGCCAGGCCACTGCGGAAGGGTGGGGGGCGGTGACAGGTGGGCGGGGGAGGGGCGGGCTGGGGATGCTTGTCCAGCACTCAGTGGTAGGAGGGTGAGGAGCCAGGCATGCGGAGTCCCGGATTCGGTCCTTCTATGTGCAAGGAACCTTTGCCCAAGGCGCTCACATTTCACTCGGGCGACAGGACCCGGGTGTAACCTTTCCAGAACTCTGATCCTGCACATACCACTCCTCGGTAGCGGGCGGGAGGAGGAGGAGGACAAGGGGGATGAGATCCGCTCTTCACCACCAGAGAAGTTTCAGAGGGCAAAGGAGGGAAGGAGAGGCGCTATGGAAACCTGCCCCAAACCCACCAGGACCTGGAAGATCCTTGGAGTGGACTCAAGGACAGGCTCCCAGCTCGGGATTTCCTGTTGAGGTCACTAGAGGAATCTGGGGTTTTGTAATAGAGTGAGGAAGTGAATGAATGAATGAATGGAACTCACCAGCCCTGAGAATAAACAAAAGAACAAAATTATGACAGAATAAAAATGACAATATAACCAAAATGTAGTATGTACAATGAGAACACAGATCTGGGAAGCTGGAAATCTGGATTCCAGGCCTGGATCTGTGTTTCCAGCTGCACAACCTTGGGCAAGTCACTTCTCTGGACTTCAGTTCCCAACATTGGTCAAATGTGGATCTGACCATCCTCAGGGTCCTCTTAAGCTTTAAATTGCTTGGTGTGCTAAAATGTAACCCTAGATAGATTTACCCTACGACCTTTGCCCAGGTCCTCAATTTCTTCAAGTGGTTTGATCTAGTGGAAATACCACCTCATTTCTTCACTGGTACTTATGCTCTTTGCTCTTCCCAGTGCCCCAGGCCTCCTGGATTTAAGTTAGGAATGTGGAGAGATGCAGGCACTTTTTCAAATCATAAAGACTTGTTGGGGGGAGGGCATTTAGTGCACTACTGCAGAAGAGGTTTTAAGTTAAACAATCCACACACCAAGTGGTGTATGAATAACTTAATTAATACACTTTCAGCACAGCATTCAGCTAGGGAATAAATTACCATTAATACTCAGGAGGATTGTGTTCTAAAGGGCTTTAAACTCTCTGGAGACAGGAATTAGCACTGTGTCACTAACTACTAAATCATAGATGAAAATCGTCAAATCTGAAATTCAGAGGCAATAGTGTATTTGGGATTATCTCTGGATATCTGAGACTCCTAATTAGGGCTATAGGCCAGCCTGGGGAGTTCCCAAGTATAGACTCTGGGACTTCGTGGGAACTTCCCACTTTCCTTACTGCCTCAAGTACAGTGGGACCAACTGCTGATTGAGTTCTTCGACCTCCTGCCACTTCCCTGTTCTGACCCACCACTTGAATACCAGAGGGGCCCATATAAGAATATTTATGCTCTGAGTGACTGGCATCCAGAAGTCATCCAGAAGTCAGAGAGCCATTAAGAGCCATCCATAGGAGCAAAACCTAACTGAAATGTAAGAGTACAATTTTATCATAAAACTTGACAAAATGGATCTAATGGAAATTTGAAGACAGACTATCAAGGGATGAAGGAATAATGAAGTTATTGGATTATGGACTTGCCTTCCCTGGGGGGATTCTGAAAAGCAACCTTCTTCACTCCTGTCCCTACAGCCTGCTGTACCTACCACATTTCTTCTTCTTTTTTTTTTTTTTAATTTTCTTTTGTAGTTATAGATGGACAGAATGCCTTGTTTTGTTTGTTTATTTTTATGTGGTGCTAAGGATCAAACCCAGTGCCTCACACATGCTAGGCAATTGCCCTGCTACTGAGTTACAGCCTCAGCCCCCCACCACATTTCTATAAAGGCTGGACAGAGCAATTCCTAGGGAAATAATCCAGTGTTCTCCTAGGGTCAGTGCTGATGCCCTACCAAGTAATACCAGTTTGATGTTTATGATCTTCAACTTCAAAAAAAAAACCCTTCAACTACAAAACAGAGATCCCTTTCTCTCACATTGCTAAACTCAAGGGTCCTGGGTGGAGAACAAACTCTAAACTAGTCGTCATTCACAGTGTAGAATCATAAGGAGACATGATTTGGTTTTAATGCTATCCTGGGTAGCATAAATTCAGGGCACAAGTTTCACTTGCTTTGCATTTTTGCAGATGAGCTCACATGAAAGTTCACAGGAACCAGCACAGAAACAACAGTGAAAATGTCATTTGGTTTTTTTTCACCCTTTTTTCTTTTTTTGCTTGGTGGGATAAAGTACTCCTGACTAGAGGAAGAAAAACTAAAACACAAATCTTGCCATTATGGTAATGGTAATTGAAAACTTTTATAGTCATTATTATCAAAAAGCAAAGGTTTTACTGGAATTCTTGAGAGGAAAAAGTGATGTAATTCTTTTATGAGTCAGGAGCTTATGTTAGAATGTCTTTAAAATTCAGAAATTATTCTCACCTCAATTCTAATTCTAAGAATCTCACTAAATCTACCCGAGCATAGACCAGTTATTGGAGAAGTAGGTTTTTTGTTTATATTTGTTTTTAAGGCAGACATTAAGGTCAGTTGGGCTTTGGCTTAAATTTGGTATCCTGTGCTTGTAGTCCTAGAAATTTGGATAAGAGATGAAATTTTTATGAGTCTCATTTTCCTTGAATGTAAATGAGACCTGTCTTATAGGCTCACTGAGAAGATTACAAAAGACAATTTCTGTGATGCTTAGTGAACCTAGTGAGCCAGGCACTCCAGGAGATATTTTATTCCCGAACCTCCACCTTTCCCTATTTTCTCCCCTGTGCAGACTGCCCAACTAGTCTTGTCCTTTAGTGAGATTATTCAAATGTCACTGCCAAATCCTCAGTTTGATGGCAAGGTCCAAAAGATCTCTAGATGACTCAGTCATTATTCTCATTTGCTTATAAATAAGTTATATTACTTTTAACTGAGAGTGTCCTCCTAATGAAAATTTCACCTTTGGGATGCCAAAGTAATTTACTTGACTCTGAGGTGTCTGTAATGGAGTTATTTCAGTCACTGTGGAGGATTTGAAAGGACATCATCAGAGTTCATCAAACCAATCGGATGATTATGGTGGAGGATTTGGGGGAAAGAACTTGCCTTCTATGCTTTGCACTGATGATGTTGGTGTTCTCTGGACTGTTGGTTTTCTCTGACCAGCAAGGAAGTCCAAAGTACAACCTCATCCTTTAACTGGGAAGGTTGGCTGGATGCAGTGGTGCACACCTGCAATCCCAGTGACTCGGGAGCCTGAGGCAGGAGGATCACAAGTTCAAGGTCAGTTGGGCAACTCAGGGGGACCCTGTATGGAAATAAAAAATAAAAAAGGGCTGGGAATAGCTTGATGTTGGAGCACCTCTGGATCCAATCCACAGTACAAAAACAAAACAAAACAAAAAAACCCACACCTGGGAAAAGTTATTCCAACGTCTTTATAAAAGAGACACGGAGGCAGGAGGAGCAATGCAAGTCCAAGAGAAGGAAAACTGGTTGGCACCAGAATTCCAGAAATCCCCCTGTCTCAGAGCCTCCATCTTTGGCTGCTGTTCTTTGTGATCAGGTTGCTCTCAGAGCCTTGTGCATGGTGACAGGGTTGTTTCAGTTGTCACCCTCTTCTTCCTTGGGCTTAGTTCCCTGAACAGTTAAGGAAGGAAGCAAATCTGAAGCAGAAAGATGGAGTATTAGGAGCCATGGGCTGGGTGAGGGTGTTTTTCCATGCTTCTGCAGCCCGGGGTACAGGTCTCCTCTCTCCTTGTAATCCCCGCCACACACAGTAAAGATCTCTCCTTTAGCCTCCTTTCCTTTTTCTTTTCTTTTTTCCTTCCTTCCTTCCTTCCTTCCCCTCTCTCCTTCCTTCCCTCCCTCCCTCCCTCCTTCCTTCCTTCCTTCCTTGGTACTACGGATTTAACCTAGGGGTACTTTACCACTGAGAGACATCCTCAGCCCTTTTAATTTTTTATTTTGAGATAGGGTCTCACTAAATTCTCAGTCTCCCTTCAATTATAGTCACTGGGATTACATGCAGGTACCACTGCACCTGGCTTCTACCTTAGCTTTAATAACTATGGTGCTGGGTTTTGCTTGTTTTAACATGACATTCCCTTCTTAACATGAATTATTGATAATAGAAGCCAGGTCTTACTCATTTTTGTATCTCGAGCACCTGGCACAAGGTAGATAGATGCTCAGTAAGTGTTGGATGAATAAATGAATGCTCAATAAGTGTTGGATGAATAAATGAATGACATAGGAAGAGCACTGGAAAGGGGATGTAAATTCATAACCTGGCTCTTACATCAGCTAATGTGACTTAGAGAAAATCATCTTATTTTGGGGGTCTTCAGTTTCCATCTTTGTGAAATGATACTGTTGAGCTTAATAATCTCTGAGACCCTTTTTGTTCTGCTGCTCTATGATCTATGATCATTCTCAGATTTTCCCATCATCCGTTCATATAGCACACTGTATCTGCCACCATCTGACTGTGAGTTCATATTTAGACGTGTTCTTGGGGCTAGGTACATAGCTCTACAGCTAGCACGCACAGGCCCTGAGTTAGGTCCCTAGCACTAACAAACAAATATTCTGGTAAGTAAAAAAGCCATCATGGAAGATGTTTAGATTCCTAAGTTTCAAAGAATCAGAAAAGCAAAGCATTAACAGTAAAGTTCTTATGGGTATATTTTGCCCTTTGAAGAATCAGAGAGCAGGGCTTAGAAGTTTCAGAACCTTGAGGTTATCGTCTTGACATAGGAGAATTTTCAATGATGATGGAAAAGTTCTATAATCTGTGCTGATGACTGCAGTACCTGCTAGCCGAATGTGCCTACTGAGCCCTTGAAATATGGCTGGCATGATCAAACAACTGAATGTAAAATTTAGTTTTATGTTAATTAATTTACATAGCCTTGGCTAGTGGCTACCATTGTGGGTAGGTTCTAGAGCATGAGCTCCAATGAGGACAGATTCATTTTTTTTTTTCTCTTCTGTTCACTAGTAGTATCTAGAACAGAGCCTGCCTGGTACAAAGTAGATGCTTGAGAAATGTCATCTTCCTGTCGATGTTCAACAGTGCCTGTCAAGAGAGGGCTCGTGAAGAGAAGGCTCCATAACTGACCACTCACTCTCTCAAGTTAGGAATACCTGCACACTTTCTATGAGGAGCCATTCACTGACTAACTGCCAATGGGTAAAATTATATCCAACTGTGCTGCCCTTCCTAGAATATGACACCCTAATTGTGTCCATTTCTGGGCACCAGAAGCTAAGAGAAATAAAGAAACTTCCTCAGGGAATCAGAAAGCCACAGAGCCCACAAAGATGAGAGAATTCCTCTGAGGAAGAGCTAGGGAGTTTTATTGTTATGCCTGGGAGGCAACTTTGAGTATGTGAAGGGTAACGATGCAGAGGGTTCCAGTGACTTCTCTCCAGTTCTGTCAGGGAGGTGAGCAAGCAGGGCTCTACTGCAGCCTGCATAGTTTAATTCAGGAGTGGGGGTTATATAGGCACTGCAGAGATATTACACTTATCTCCTTTCCTGATTATCTTTACCAATGGAGACAATTCTCATTTGTCTAGAGCAAGTCTCCTGAAAACAGAGGTGAACGTTATGACCTTAAGAGAGAAGTCAGTGGCTCCAGCATGGAGTTCTGCTGGGCCAGGCTGTGCAAGGCGGGGTAGTGGCACCCGACACCACCCAAGGGCAGAGCACAGCTGTTGGCAAATCCAGCCAAGAGCACACTGATAGCATTACCCTCAGAGAGTGAGAGAATTTCAGAGCTGGGAAAAGCCTCTAGATTACCTCCAAATGCCTCATTTTACAGATGAAGAAACTATGACTCAGACAGTGGAGTCACCTGGCTAATTAGCAACAGAGCTACAACTAGAACCCAGATTTTCAGACTCCTAGTTCAGGTCTCTTTTTATTTCACAACGTCAATAGGCATTAGCAAAATAATGTGCAATTCTACTCTGGATGCAGGACTGGAGTGTAGATTAGTTGTTTTCTAGGTCCTTTAATGACCAAGACATTGAGTCATAGAGAAACGTACAGAAAATGAACAATTCACAGAATAAGTTCACTGCTTAATAAGAAAGATGATACTGTGAACAAATCAAAGATACGGGCACAGGAAACTGGGACTGAGCAACTGATGTGGGAGAATAAGAGACTCCACCTCCTTTTCTAATCAAAGGGTATTTCCTGGAAAGAAATGTGAGAATCACAGAATGAGACAATTTCATTTTGCTCAATACAAGAGGTAGTCAAATGTGATGAAAGGTAGAGAAGAAAACAGTTCAAGTGGTCTGGAACGCCTCTGCTTTTTAACACTGAGAAATGGCAGCATCAACAGGTTACAAAGAGAAACTCCAGTGGGAAAATAGCAGAGGCTGATAAGGCAAGTGGAGGGTACTTTTCTTTGGTCTCTAGCCAGGACAGTCAGCACTGGGCCAGCCAGCACTGTCGCTGGAAGGAAAGGTGCTTTCGGGGAAGAGGAGTTAGGATGGTAGTTCCATGGAAAAGCTTGGTAGAAGTTGTCCCCTCCAGCTACACGGTATCTCCTCTGGGGCAGGAAATCGCTGGAAGTTAGCAACAAGGTAAGGGGAAGATTCTTTGACTGGCTAAAGGAGAAATGAAAAGCACTTCAGGCATGCCTGATCTGCGTTGGTGCAGAGGAATCCATTTCACAGGGTGCCTCTCCCTTGGGAGAAAAATTAAGAGAAAACTTTTGAGAGGAAGTTTCCAATAGCTGGAATTACAGAGGTTCTGGTGTTACTTCTCATCTTGAAGAGGCTGCCCCTGGTCCCCAGTGTCATGCCCAATGAGGAGACCTGGAGAGGATCCATTTCCTAGACACCACTCAAAGTCTAATTTAATTCATTTGCTATCTGGTCCACTACCCTGTATGATGAATATTACACCCTGAACTGAAAAACCATGGTAGCCATGAATCCCTGCCCAGGAGGAACAAGATTAAAGGGAATCTCACTCCCTGGCCCCTCAGTATCTGCTGGAGACAGAGGGTGGTTCTTCACCTTGGCCACATGAGGCTTTCTGATTTTTAAAGGGGCTTCACTCTCTCTCAGCTCTTTGCTATTTTCGCCTTCGGGTCCTGCGGCTCCTACAGCGGGGAGACAGGAGCAACAGTTCGCTGCAACAACGAAGCCAAGGACGTGAGCTCCATCATTGTTTTGTTCGGCTATCCCTTCAGGTGAGCAGAAATGGGTTATGACCCAGCACAGACTCTCTCACGAGATCAGCAGGACCTGCTTTGTCTCTTCCTCCTCCAGAAATCTAAAGACCACTTGTTGTGTGCCAATCCAGATTCCAACAGAATTATAAGACTTAGGTCCGTTCCACCCTTCAGTGATCTCAGACAAACTGACCAGAGGAAAACATAAGGGAAACACAAACAGATCATCGTTATTATGTTCCAGTCCGTGGCCAACCAATAGGGGGTCATAAAGTGCATGCAGAAAACCCCCAGGCATTGGAAGGAGTCTGAGAAAGTTGAACAGCTCTCTCTGAGCCTCAGAAGCCCCCTTTCTGCTTCGAAGTAAGGAAGCTTGTTAGTTCTTTCTGGTACCACCAGAAAACAAGGAGGCATATCTTATCCAGGAGGTAGAGAAGAGTATTCTTTCCTGGATTATTTGAGAGCTTAGAGAAGGGGTGAGTAAGTGTTCAGAAGAGAATGGAGACAGGGCTCACCTTTTTAAGAAATGTCTAGTTTTTGGCACCCAACTTAGATTGTCTCCTGTATATAAAATGTTGTGTTTTTCTCTTTGTTTTGTCCAAGATACTCAAATTAGGAAGCTAAGTAAGGCCTGAGAATGGGTGATTCAAACCTGAGCTTGGTCACTGTGACCCTGTATTTTCCCAGGAGCAGAAAGCAGCTGATTTACCTAGTGGTTTGGCTACCAGAAATAGATGGATTATATATTGTGGTTGTGACCTTAAAGGCCCTGACTTCTTGGAACCACATGTTCACCATATCTGGGCAGGTGGATGAGCGTAGGATGGCAGTCCAGGGGGAGGTAGGACTTGAATGAAACTGTAGGGAAGCTCCTGCTTTGACTGCAAGTTTCCCTCCAGAAGTACTGTTCCACACCTTTCTTCACTCTGTAATAGTCCCAGGGTGAGAACTAACCCAGGACCCTTCCTGGAGCATGGAGAAAGCTGGTTACCTGAGCTCAAGATGGCCTCTCCTACCATCTGCAGGTTGCACCGGGTCCAGTATGAGATGCCTCTCTGTGATGATGAATCCACCTCCAAGACCATGCACCTCATGGGGGACTTCTCAGCCCCTGCTGAGTTCTTTGTGACCCTTGGCATCTTTTCCTTCTTCTATACCATGGCTGCCCTAGTTCTCTACCTGCGCTTCCACAACCTCTATACGGAGAACAAGCGCTTCCCGCTAGTGGTGAGTGAGAATGGGCCAGAGGGATGGAGGCAAGGGATGGACAAACATAGTAGCTTCTCTGGGCCCAAGACCTAAATGTGGAACCTCTGCCTCTACCAACCTCCCATAGCTTCCTTCCACTGACAGAAAGCACAAGAGCAGTATAAATAAGCAGACTTTGGAGTTAGGCTGCTTGGGTTCAAATCCCAGCACAGTCTCTTCATGGCTTCAGTCACTGTGTAGCCTTAGATAAATTACTCAGCCTCTCAAAATCTCAGTTCCCTCATCTATAAATGTGGATGAAATAATACCTGCTTTTTAGTTTTTTTTTTTTCTGGGGGTGGGGGAATAAGAAAGTATGTAAAATATCTGGTACATAGTTAACCACTGTAAGTGTTAGCTGTTATTAGTATTAATTATTCTCTTTACTTTCTCCTTATTCCAGTTATGAAGGTAGAAGCCATACGTTAGAGAACTCCATTTCCCAAATCTGCCTCTGCCACTACTTCTAGATGAGTAAGGGTGATCAAAGGAAAAGTTGGGAATAAAGAATAAGGAGTTTAGGCTTGGGGTTGTGGCTCAGCAGTAAAGCGCTTACCTAGCGCATGCAAAGCCCTGGGTTCCATCCTCAGCAACACATAAAAATAAATAAATAAAAACAAAGGTACTGTGTCCAACTACAACCAAAAAAAAATAAATATTAAAAAAATAGGGAGTTTAGATAACTTGGGTTTTGAGGTGAGGCTGACCAGCCTCAGCACCTTGTTGTCTGACTTTAGTTCTGAGGATGTAGATAGGGCAGCCTGAGAGGCATGACTACTTTGGTGGCAGTGAACAGATTTCTTTCTCTTTTTTTTTTTTTAATATTTTTTTTAGTTGTAGGTGGACACAATATCTTTATTTTTATTTATTTATTTTTATGTGGTGCTGAGGCTCAAACCCAGGGCCTTGTGCATGCAAGGCAAGTGCTCTACCCCAGCCACAACCCCAGCCCACAGATTTCTTAGGACCATCTGGACCCCCTGGGGCTATAGGTGTCAGGTAGGACAGGAAGAGGCAGATATCCCAAGACCCCAGGATTCTAGAGTATCATGTCAAGAGAGAAAAAACACTAGGGAATCATGGGGACTTTCTGAGTGTATTCCCAACTCTCTGCTTCTCCCAGGACTTCTGTGTGACCGTCTCCTTCACCTTCTTCTGGCTGGTAGCTGCTGCTGCCTGGGGCAAGGGCCTGACTGATGTCAAAGGTGCCACACGGCCATCCAGCCTGACTGCAGCAATGTCTGTGTGCCATGGAGAGGAAGCAGTGTGCAGTGCTGGGGCCACACCCTCCATGGGACTGGCCAACATCTCCGTGGTGAGACCTGTGGCCACTGATGGGGCCTAGGGGAAGCAGCACTATCCCAGCTGCCCAGGCCTGTCCCAGCTGGCAGGTTCTAAGAGGAACAGAGAGGGGTCCCCAGGGCTGATGTCCCCTGCTCTTACAGTTAGTGCCCACCTGCACCTGATGCTGATCCTGGGAAGGCATGTTGGGATGGGGGAACCAAGAGCCACTCCCATTCCCCACCTCTAGGCATGTCCTCATGACTACCTCCCATCCCTCCTGCCTGTTTCATGCTGTGTATGGGTGCACATTGAACATATGAAGAGGGAGCTTAGGGCTGTGGCTGGTTCAGAGCTCTTAAGGAGACCCAGAGTGAGAAAGGCCTCTTCATTGCTTGGACCCCCACACAGAAAAGGGATTTGAGGACAGGGATGCATTCAGCCAATAGGCATGCATTTGGTCATCCTAGTTGCTAAAACATTGAAATATGCTCACATCAGCTGGAAAGTGCCTGAGCCATCACCTTAGCTATCTCAGATCCTCTCTGAAAATGTCTCTGACCTCATCAAGGCCCATAACTGAAATGTTTCATGACTGGCACATCAGGGAGCTTCTGGAACATACTGGAACTCCACTCACAGATCCCCCCCCCCAACATTTTATTGCAGAAAATTTCACATATACATTAAACTTGAAGGAATTTTATGGTGAACACCCAGATGCTCACCCCCAGGCTCTCCCATTAACATTGTATTAGACTTGCTTTATTATTTACCTATCCACCTTCTCTCATCAATCCATTTTTAATGCATTTCAAAGTCAATTGCAAACATCAGTACACCTTCTCCTAAATACTTCCTGCTGTTAGGTTTTTAAAACATTTTAAACAAATATTGAATGTAGCCCTGGCTGAGTCCCTGGTCCTAGGGAAGAAGCACCTTGGACAGCTCCAGTCAAACTCACCCAACAGAAGGTATTCCAGGCAGGCCCCTGGTATTGCTGTGGGAAGCCCTGCTGGCCCCTGACTACTGGATCCTTGCTATGCTTTGCATGATAACCTCTTTACCAGCAGGATTGGGCTAGTGACCAAGCTACATCTTGGGTGCATGCTGTGGATAGAGTTGCCAGGAAATCCCTTAACGGGAGATCGCGTTGAATCCTACTTCTATACCCAGCTTGCTTAGTCTTTCTAGTCCTCTGAGCTTCTTACACCAACACAGGAACTCCCCACTCCCTGTTCTCATACTATCCCTCCCCTACTATTCTCACATACTCCCCTGATGTCCTTTGCAGCTCTTCGGCTTTATCAACTTCTTCCTGTGGGCCGGGAACTGTTGGTTTGTGTTCAAGGAGACCCCGTGGCACGGGCAGGGCCAGGGCCAGGACCAGGGCCAGGGCCCCAGCCAGGAGAGTGCAGCTGAGCAGGGAGCAGTGGAGAAGCAGTAAACAGTCCCCGCCTGGCTACTCCTGAACTGGACAGCACCTCTTCAACACCAACAGCTCCCAGGACCTCCCTCTTCCTCCTCCAACTCCCTTCCCCCATCATTCTAGGCTTTGAGCTTTGGGACTACAGATGGGCAGACGTCAGCTATTGGAAACCTGGGCAGCCCACCCCATGGCTTCCTATCCCTCCTCTTGCTGGAGCCCCAGATGGCAGGAGCTCAGTGCTTCTTGTGTACTGACTGATTTCCAGCCTTCCCAGAGTCCAATGTGCTTCCCACTCTTCTCTAGCTTCTCTTTGCCCACAGAGCCCACCATGTGTGAACCAGGGAGGCACAGTAGCCTAAAAAAGGGCCCTTAGAGGGTCTAGATGAAGCCTGAACTCAATGGGAGCAGATAAATGGCAACTGAATTGCAACTTGAGGAAAAAACTTGCCAGGAAACTTGGGACAGAAATAGTTTCTTTTATCCCCTTGGTCCTCTGACCCCCAGGGTGGGGCACTTTCCACCAGCACTCTAAACTATACTTACCTTAGAAAATTTTACCTTCCTTCCTGTCCTTCTTGGGCTTGGTCTCATCTCACACTTGGGACACAAGATGAAGGGCTTAGGAGCATCTCCATTTCAGGCCCCCTCACCCAACCACCCGGTTCACCTCCCTTCCCCTGCCTCTTGGGTCTGAGGCATTCGAGATCCTTTTTGAAGTCTGTCCAGGCCTTCCTTTCATTCCTGTGCAGCAAGATAGGGGCTCTGGAAGGGCCAGAAGGACATCATGAGGCTGAGTTGCCCCAGAGCCCCAGGACATGGATGGATGGGCCCATTTCCCCCTTACTCTTTGCTTGTTTCTCCCTGGTTCCTTATATAGTCCTTCTCTCATACTTCCCCCTTCTCATCTTTACAAAAGGATGTGCCCTCTCCGTTGTCTTCCCATCCTCCCCTGCTTCCTCATTTTGCCAGGGTCTATCCCCTCCCCAGTCCAGGGCAGCCTGATGCTATTGGTGCTTCTTCACTTTGGGACCCAGTTCCATATTTGTCTTTGGTGTGTCTCCTTTTCCTGATACCTCCTCAGTCCCTCTCTAGACTCCAAGGCCAGCGAATGCTAACTGGGCAAGGGTCATCTACTTCTTACCCACTCAGAACACTTCAATCTGCCCCAGTCATCGGACTGCTCAGGGAAGGATGAAGAGAGAAGAATTCAACCATTTTCCAATCCAGTGCCAACTGGCCCGCTTAGCATCCCAAAGGTGAATGTGTCCTATGCCAGTCTGTCCTCAGGACTGAGTTAACCCCCTTCAACCTCCTCACCTTCCTCAATGCCACCCATAGTAACATGTGCATTATTGGAGTACCTGGGGGTCAGCACCTTTGACTTAGGGCCAATTATTTCCTCTTTGGGTCAGAGTTTTCCCACTCGATGGGGAAAAGTGTGAGATTTATATCCCTCAAAGCTCCAGAGTCCTTCAGCAATTTGTTTTCATTTTTTAGATGTTGGGAAGGGGTTTGAGGAGGGAGGAAAGAAGATGGGGATGAGAATGTTTCTAAATATGAAACTCTCTGCCCTGAGTTGTACCCATAGTTACTCCAGGACAAGGGGAGACAGTTTCGCCTACATGGCCAGAGACACAGAGAATAAAGGGGTGACCTTCATTTTTCTTCAGGCTGGCCCCTGTGGGGGTCTGTGAGCAGCTTCTACTACTTCTATTATTTGGATTGTGTCCATATTTATAATTTATTTGAAATGTGATGGATAAAGTACTCTCATTTGGGGACTGAAGGTAGCAATGCCCTTCAGCTCGGTAAAGGGGTAGGTATTCACTCCTGCAGAGGAATCCCAGAATTCTCCCTGCAGCAGAGAAGGCTCTTCCTTCTCCTAAAGAGGCTGGCTCTTCTTGGCCAGAAGAGACTATGGCCTCTCTCTCTCTCCATGGCCACCCTAAGAGGCCAGTTCACTTCATTACCTCCAGAGGGCTGCCTGGGCCAAGTGCCAAGGACAGGGTTGTCCTTATAGGAGTCATATGTCCTCCAACCAGGGCTGGTATCACTGCTTTGCCTATTGGGGCCTGAGGTAGCAGAAGGTGTCTGGTTTCTCCAGATACTGCAGGAGGCCAAAAGGCAGGGCACTTGCCCTTTGCCCTGGTAGAATCTGGCCCTGCCAGAATGCCCACCTTAAACCTTTCCTGAACATGAGTTCCCTTCAACATTGTGGTCATAGGTCTCCTACTTCTGGGATTGCAGGTCAGGGGTGGGGGGAGAATGTTGCATGTTGTTTTCTGGTGCTTGTTATTACACATTTGAATAAACAGTGCCGCAAGCATTTGCCATGAAGGAGCCAAGACTGGAGCCCTTCTGGGAATTTTTCTCCCCTCTTTCTCTCCCTTGCTTTAAGTTCTTGGACAGATATCAACATTTCTACCAAGATAACATTCCACTCCCCTCCACTCTGCACCCCAAGCAATAGAGTCTGCTGGATGAGCAGTTGTTCCTGGCAGGCCCCAGTCTGGTGACACTGCCTCTTCTGGTGGCACCCAATTAGTCCAAAGCAACTGACTTGTTAGCAAATCTGGAGCAAACTCAAAAGGCGAGAGATAGTGACTTCCACAATGCTGTTTCCATTTGCTTTCCTACCATCTGTGACCCAAACAAGCTTCCTGTCATGAGTTGAGGGCCATATGCTTTCCTCTTTACTATAAGGTTTCTTGCTGAACAAACTTGCACCTCTACCCACCCCCCAGACAATTGCATTCTACATTAACATTCCCTAGAAAAATGCACTTGAGCATGATTTTACATTCAATTTCACCAGGTTACTGGGCGCCCTAGGCATCATCCATGGATGTCTGGTTAAGACCCTCAAATATTATTTTTGAAGTACTTAAACCTTCCCTGGATGAAAGTCTGAGGTTCTGAATTCATAGACCTTGACTTATTTGCTCTCACACCTGGTTTCCTCTTAGCTAAAGGGATATAGGGTAAAGTGTGAGGGGTGGAGGAGGAAAAAAGAGGATTAGTATTTCTTTTCTAATGAGATGGAAGACTTTTGTCTCTTGTGTGAGGATGGGAATAAAATGTTAACAGCTGCGGAGAAGAAAGAGGTGGATGATTAAGGTACTTTCCAGGCCTTAGCAAGGAAAATGACAAATCTGATGAGAAATCTTCCTATGCGAAGGCTTCAGTAGCAGCCCTTGTAGCAGAGAAAATATTCATTAGAAAAAGAAACCAAAATGATGGATGGAGTCAGGGTCCAGCCAGGGTTTGGGAAGAGGCGGTGCAGGGTATCGATCGCAGTTCTCAGGAGGAGAGAGACGGATCAGCAAAGACGCTGCAAAACCCAGCAGCCTCGGGGCCACCCTAGTTCTGGGGCTGGCTCTGGCTCGGAGATAGCCTTCTGTCATCCTGACAGGTGATCTTGATCAGCTCAGCCAGGTCCTCCCAAACCCAGACAACGGTACTCCAATCATCTGCCCTGCATTAGGGCAACGGGGGTTTCCCACAGAGGAGAAACTACACAGGGGCCGAGGCCCTCCCCCACACCAACCCCTGTGTCCTTCAGCACATCCTACAGACTCCCTCCCCTTGCCCTTCTGATTCACAGCGCCCACCTCCCTGCACCTACCCTATTCGATCTACGGGGGAGCGGAGTCGCTTCTTGGGCCGCCAGCCCGGGAAGGGGCGCCAGCCAGCTGGCGGATGCACTGCTTAGAGGGGCTTCTTTGGCAGAGAGAGGTCTGGGGCTGGGTGTGTGTGTAGTGAGCTTGGGAGAGTGACTCGTGGTACAGAGAATGTGTGCACAAGATTTAGGAGAGGGGATCCTGGGGCTTTGGTGTTTTCTATTCCGCCTGCAAACGTGCCTTTCGGAAGGGCTCTTGCGGCAAACTCGGTAGGAAACAGCACCCGCGCTGGAACTACATTTCCCAGAAGGCTATGCGGGAAGGAGGAGGAGGAGGAGGAGGAGGAGGAGGAGGAGGAGGGGGCAGGCGACCTGAGTTGTGCTTGCGCAGAGAGTGAACTGGAAAGGTAGGGGGAGAGGGGAGGCGTGCCCGCGGCGGGGCAGGGGGGAGGGGGCCGCGCGGCGGCGGCGCCGGGGCGGGCGCGCGTCCGCGGCGGTGATGGCGGTGCGTGAACGCGCGGCGGCAGCAATGGCCGCTCTGGAGCGGCGGGTGCCGAGTCTCGATGACTTCGCGGGACAGAGTTGGAGCTCGTGGGTGGAGCGGGCCGACCTGCCTGCGGCTGATGGTGAGTACAGCCACCCTAGAGTCCGGGGACCCCATCACCATCTCCCCTCCCCCCCTCCGGGCCCCCGCCAGCAGAGGGGAGCCGCCGACTGGAGCCGCCGTCCGGCTCCCCGGCCCCCCAAACAAAGGACCCGCCGGGTCCTAGTGCCCGCCCGCTCTGTTACCTTCGCGCCTCCGGGTCCTAGCGCCGGCTCACCGCTCTCAACCCACCCTGCCCACCTCTGTCTCTGCCGGTGCCACCACCTGCCTCCACATTTACTTGTCTTTATCTTTCTTCTTGTCTGCTGGCCTCCAGCTCCCGCCCCTCGTGCACCTGCTCCAGCTGTCTCCATCCGCAACAGTCCTCTCCACGTGTTTCCCACGCACCCCACTTCTGTGCCCCCCTCCCCAAGCTCTTGTTCTTTTGCCTTTTGCCCCACATTTCCTGCTCCTTTTTGGCGTTTGCCTGACGGCTGCGGTGCTTCTGGACCCCCGCCCCCTCCGCATAGTTCCTTCATCCATCCTTCTATCTCTCCTCCCTCACACCCTCCCTCTTTCAGTCCATCCATCCATGCCTTCAGTCCTCTGTCCTTTCCTGGGTCTCTTGCCCTACCTCTTGGCTCTTTCCTACGTTCTGTAGGCTCTTGAGTGCCTTTGGTGAGTGGGCCTATAACTCCTTCTTCTGATCTTTGTCTCCTGGGCCCCAGGGAGCACCTGGCCTCGTGGCCTTTGGAGGTGACAGCAGGCATCACACCCCTGAAGAAGTTTGCAAGTGAGAAGGGGTGGAGGAGAAAACCTCATGGAGCGGTCTCTAATGACACTTGTTCTCCACTGAGACATCTGACTCCCAGTGGTGTTGGGTCCATCATTCCCCACACTTGGATTTAACTGATTAAAAAGAGTGGGAGCTGCCCCTTGTCTCATGAATGCCTAACTCACAACCCCTTATGTGTAGACATTATATAAGATTGTCAACATTCTTCTCATCTAAGAAAGGGGCAAATCTGTTAGTAGGTAACAGAAAGCAGATCTAAGTGGGAGCTACAGGCTACCCTGGAACTGGCCCATGCTGGGTGGGCAAAGATGGGGCCATTGTCAGGGTCTGGGTGCATTGAGAACCGGAAATGGAGTCAGATGGGTTTGGTGACTCAGAATTGATTTTTTTTTTCCAAGGGACAGGGAGGGGGTGTAGAAGAGGGAGGGGGGAGGAGAAAGGGAGGGGGATGGGGAAAAAGATGCTTTGCAGCTAAGATGTTTTTGTCATTAACCCAGAAACTGAGGTACAAGGGCAGCCCTGAGCAAAGCCCCTCTAAGAAGGGGATGGGCTTGGTAACTGACCAAAGAGTCTTTGAAGATGCCAAAAGGGTCAAAGGCAGCAGTTTCCCTGGTCTGTGACCGTTCTATCAGGTCAGGACCTTAGAAACTGGGTATAACATTGACAATGCTGTTTTAACTCAGGTGGAGCAAACTTGAGTTTATGGGGGTGGTTACCTGGGAGATATCTGGATGTCAAGGAGTAACAGGACCCCTGTGAGAAATCTCATGGAGGGACTCAGATCTCCAGGGAAAAAATTAGGATCATTTCCATTTTAAGTGGAGAACTGAACCTCAGAAAAGAGATATTTACCCACATTCATCCAACTAGTCAGCGGTGGAACACTGATCCATGCCTTTGGAGTAAAGGGTCCATAATACAGGTGGCTGGATTCTTCTTAGCTTATTTCAGAGACAGCAGGTGAAGGGAAAATGGGAACTTGAGCAGGATCTACCGAAAGGTTCTCCTAGTGATTTTGAGTATCAAGAACTCTTTAGGGAGATGGGCTTCTCAGTGCTGGGCTGCAGGCCCCACTTGGGTAGGAGATGGGGATCTGGGAAGGGGGTGGATTTCTGAGCTGTGTTTTTCCTCCAGGGGCTGAGCTGGAGGAAAGTAGCAAAAACATGAAGAAATTGGATGCTATGACCCTCATTAAAGAAGGTAGGACTTAACACACATTAGGGCTGGAACTCAGGGCAGACAGGACCACCCTCCCCTCTGCCACCACACTCACTTGAAGCAGCAAGTTTGGGATCCTCATTGCTAGATCTGAGTCAGCCAATTTCCCTGGCTCCTGTGACCTGTCGTTGGAGATACTAGCTATAGGTGATTGGCGCCCATATACTTTGGGATTGATTAGAATGAAACCTAGAACTGGGAGCATCAATTGGGAGGTGAAGTGCCTTCAAAGTGGTGGGGTGGGAATGCTCTCTGATCTTACAGGGAATGGAGTCCCCAGCCCCAGTGACAAGGGCTTCTGTCATTGCAGACATGTCTATCTTCGGGCACTGCCCTGCCCATGATGACTTCTATTTGGTTGTGTGTAACCACTGCAGCCAGGTGGTGAAGCCTCAGGCTTTCCAGAAGCATTGCGGTGAGAGGAGCCCCAGGGAGGAACTAAGGGGAAGGTGGAACAGGGAACTCTTAGCACAGGGTCAGTTGGGAGGTCATGTGGGGTAGTAGAGGGCAATTCTAGGGATAGGAAGGACCTGGAGGTAGATTCAGAGCATTGTGGGGTGGGGGTAGGGTTTATTGTTCAAACAAACTGCTGGCATCCAGTGGACTTAAAAGGTTCAGGAAGCTGGGTCTAAAATACTGAGTTTTGATGGCTCAAAGTAAAAAGGGAAGGAGGCAAATTCACAGTCTAAGTTATGGAAACTCAGATTCTCTGATTCGAGTCTACGGGGAGGTTAGGAGGCTGGGGAAGGAGGCAGTTTATACCACTTACCTTGATTACTCTCTCCACCTCCTGGTGACAGAAAGAAGACATGGGCCCCTCAGCAAGCTTTATACCCGGGCCCCACCCCCACCTCCAGCCCCTGCCAGCTCTCAGAAATGCCATGTAGTGAATGGGCAGGGCCCAGCTTGTAGGGCCCCAGGTTCCACCAAAACCTCCTCCAGGGAGAAGGGCCAAGGGTCCCGGAGCCGCGGCCATCAGCCTCCTGAGAAGACCCAGAAGGACAACCTCTGGTAAGAAGAGGTTGGAGACTCCCCAAGACCAACCCTGACCCAGGGAGGGGTTGACACCAGTGGAGGCAGCTAACCCCATCTGCAGCTCCCTCCCATGTGTTACAGGCAATGTGGGCTT